TGAGTGGAGAACTGAGGTGAAGTATGTTTGGGTACTGTAATAGCTTAGGAGATGGTTTTTGTGCAGATTAATGGGTCTTATTGTTAACAAAGCATTATCTTCGATGGTAAAGGATAAAAAAGTTTCCCATTGCTTAGGATTTATGTAAATGTATAAATCTTTAACTCTCTTGGACATAGAGGAAGGTGAGAGGTTACTTGGTTTTACATGAAGTAAGGGGGAGATTAATGTTGAGTGTGATCATTGGGATTTGAATTAGGGTAAAAGGTGGTTAGAGCTGGAGAATAGATATGGGTGAGTGTAAATGAATACAAATGCATATAAGCTATATTTACATGCTGTATAGATCCACAGACAAAGATAGACAGACAGATAAGGACATGGTGTAACATGATCACAGCTGTAGATAAGATGGTAGGCCAATCACAAAGTCATAACAAAAACTATTTTCCACCCTCGACAAATAAAGAAAAACATGGAAATGATTACACTTTTCAAGATCAAATCAGCAGGAGTGATTTGTGACAGGGAGAGCCTGGAACAAAAAAAAATATAATTATCACCATTTTATATGGATACAATAAATGTTAAATAACCATTGCCTGTAAATATGAGATGATTTACATTATCAAAAGTGTTAAGCTATGCTTGTAAAGTGTGGATTAATTGTAGGCTAGGTGGTTGTCTAAAGTTTCATGGTTGAAGCAATGCTTGAATGGAAACATCCACTTGGGGTTATGGAGTCACAAATATTAAATATTTCTTAGTAATTTCTGATATAATTGGATTTAAAGTATCACAAGATTTGTGATTTGCTCCCCAGAAGATTTATGCATGCGAAAAATGTGTAGGGTAAAGCATCTCGGAGTTGGACTGTATAGGGATAATAAGTGACACCAAGTTTTACTTGATATGCTAGAATATAGCTTTTTCATAAGAGTGAGTGAATAAATTAATTTGTATTACACATGAAACAGTCTACACTATTCTCTTCTTTCCCCTTCACGCTTAAATACATTAAGAGATGAAAACATGGCTGGATGGTTACTTAAGGTTTTTTTTAAAAGTACTACATTGGTCCTTTCAAGATGTTTACTCAAAGGAGTTTTTGCCCTTCTACTGTTTTGACTGTGTAAAAGGGTGTTTTGTTTGTTTTCAGTTTTTTCCTATTTTGTTTATTTTGTTGTAAAATATATATACTTAAAGTGCTTCAAACTGTTTTTTTTTTTTGCCTTTTTTTATCAACAGCAAAAAAATATGAGGAAGGCTGAACTTGATGGACACATGTCTCTCTTCAGCCTATGTAACTATGTAAAATTGACAATTTACTGCATTTGTCTGGAAGCTCTATGGTTAACTGATGCTTTCTTGTTTTTACACTATATTATGTGTTCTGTTATTTGTAACATAATCACTGTTTATTTCTTATCCCAGTAAAGTTTAAATCCCTTTTATTATTTGTGTATCCTGTTTAAATTATATCAGCAAACTAAAATATATACAGTGATTATTAAAACATATCTAAACTTAATTTCACATATTACAAAGTAGTTTTTATGCATTTGAGCAGCTTGTTTTTATCAGATGTCCCTGTACTTGGAGAAAAGCGTAACCTTCAACAGTCATTAAATACAAGAGATTAAAGATTCCTTCAACTGGTTTTTAGTGTTAAATGACTCTGTGATAATTTTCCTGATGTGATTAGTAATTCTACAACTTATATTGTACAATTAATTTATGGAGATAGTGCAAACATTTGAAAGCTACACTACGAAAAACTTTTTATCAATCACCCAATCATTCCCTGCTAATTAGGTTACATGAATATATAACATCCATTTTTACTTTCTTTCTTTTTTACTTCTCCCTAATGCATCTTGAAAGTATTATTAAATGGGCTGGGAGCAGTAATTACTTTTCCTCTGCAAGGCGTTAAGCAAATGTTTAAAAATTGCATTAAAAAAAGAAAAGAATAGAATCAAGTCATGCTAGCATATTAGTCATCAACACATTTATTTCAAATAATTTAATTGTATGACTTTTAAAATAATAAACTATATAGATGTCATTGTAATATCTTAAAGATAAAATATGCTCTTTCTCAATTAAAAATAAAAATAAAATAAAACTGCTATATTAAACAATGTGTTTTGTTGTGTATCATTATGCAAGCTTCTGTATTGTCTTTTAATTGCCTCCTTTATTTTTGCAAAGATCTCTGCAGCATCTGTCTCCTTGAAGAATTGATTTGTCGACATCAACTTGTCCCAGAAATAGACTGTGGTTTCATAGACAACTGCCTGAAGCAATCATGGTAACTGTGTTCCATCAGGCAGATGTTTCTTGAGTTTATTAGCAACTTTCTCCTTCCAGTGAAGCTGGTCGTTGAAGATTCAGTGTAGCTTGGTACAATGGTTTAGACAAAGCTTTCAAATCTACACAAACACTAAAATAACAGATTTTTATTTTTATATTTGTTTGTATATTTGTTAGTGTCTTTAGTAGTGATATTTATAAAATATAGTTGCTATTTTTAAAAGTACAATTTTTTTTATAGCTATGGTTGTGGCTGAAGTAATATGATTTGAAAACCAATATACGTACATAGAAATAACTTCCCTAGGTAATGCTGAAAACCATACAAAATAATTTGTATAGAGAAGCGCTTGGTAATGAAATCACTTTTATGCATAGCCTCAAATATCAATTATAATAATATACCTGATGCACTTAAAACTTGTAAAAAAAAATATCCTGAAAAGGAACTATTAAAAAAATGATTTGTGGCAATGGCAAAAATATGTAGAAAAAATGTAGTTTTAAAAAAATTGTGGTTATCTATATTGTACATTGTTAAATGGGACTAAAACGCATATACGTGATTCAATGTATACAATGACAATAATGAATTAGGTAGACACTGTGGAGAGTTTCCTAAATATTTGGTAGCGTGCTTTTTAAGTGACAGATGATGACTTACCACTTGTCAAGACATTAAAGAGGAAATCGTGTGGGTTTTTTTCAGCCTAGTTTATATGACACAGTTTATGCATGCACTATAAATTTTTCAAAGTTATGAGGTATTGAAATGCATGTTAGGTTTACAGACAATGGAGGTTGGTCTTTAGGGGAACAGTAAAAAAATAATCTAATCTGTTGGTAGGGCCTAATCAAAGATGTGTTAGAAAAACATGTCTGTCTTGATTGTCCTAGTTATTGATTATTGATAACTAATTAATTTTCTGGATATAGACTCCCTCAGACATACTTAGTGTACCATAACATGATTTCTGTTAGCATGATTTGGTTTTGCATCAAATCCTGAATGCTCTAAACCTTAAAAGCTTTAAAATGGAATGCAAGGGAGATTTCAGTCATTAGGATGCATCCTCAATGTGAAGCATACAGGGGGCATGGACCATGCAGAGGGAAAGTCAGAAGCACTACATTCATGGTCTGCTCAGAGTGGGTCAGCCAGGGTGGCTGCATGCATGCCAAGCCGGTTCAGCAACTTTATGAGCAGACATACCCCTTTTACAGGCCTCTTGTTGCTGTGAACTTTGTGGCCTGCCCACCTTGGTCCCAGGTCAAGAAGATCCAAAGTGTGCAGACATAACTCCTTTGAGTTTTCAATTCCTCCTTTTCAGTTTTACACTGCACATATGTAGGTTGCATCTCTTTTCCTTGGAAAGAGCTAAGCTATGGCCACAGTCTTTCAGTCATTCTTTTACTTTGTTTTATTTATTTGTTTAATTTCTTCTGACATTCGGTCACCTAGGCATTAATTCTGTAATATTTTAGTTTATTTACATAATGTTGGTTGACCGTTAATCCTTATGGTTTAATTAAAAAATAATCCCCCCCCACCCATATTACTGTAATTAAAGTAGACCTCCTTTATACCTACCCTAGGTGGGGGCATATCCACTAAACATAAAAAACTAGCAACAGGGCAACCATTGCTGCCCAGTAGCTAGAAAGGCTGCATCCCCATTAAAGGAAGGACATATTTGTTCCTTAAGTGCCCTTATGGTGGACACTGGTCCCCAAGCTCCAAGCTACACCTTCAAATAAAACTAACCTATCTGCCCCTCACCGTAATATTAGTAATAGGGATGCAATAAAATTAGTACCTGTAAAATTGCCACTATTTGGGGGCATAGCAATGGCATGTCCATCCACCATTGTATACTTATTTACAACCCTTACCTGCCACTGATGGGTGGGGTGTGATGGCAGGAAACTATGTCTCACCTAATGTTATAATTACTGACTACTGGTAGAGACACATGGGGACATTGGGATGTTCCCCCTTTGCTTTTATTAAATAGTCACCACCTGCTAGCCAAATTATTTTTTATGGGGGTGCTTTTTATTTAAATGTTTATATATATATATTTTTTTTTTACTAGAAACAATCCTCAGGTGCTATATAATTAGGCTTATTGGTAGACACATGAAACATTAAAATATATATATATATATATATATATATATTATTTTTTTTTACTATTTTCATATAGTAGCTGTCTAGCAAGAGCTGACCAGGTGCCACATAATTAATCCTTGCAGTGTGGAAGTGTTCTAACTATATAGTACTTTACAGGTTAATAATCTGTTGTAAGATTAAAATCAGCCATATCCTGAGTCATAACTGAGAAAGGTTTTTAAGCTATACTGACATGTTTTTGTAAATCATTTATGGAACTGTCTGCATAGTCACCACAGCAATGTTTTAGAGTTTACCTGCTCATAACATAATGTTACATCTAGTCAATATATGTACGTGATCAATTAATATCGCTTTTATTAAAATTTGTTTTGACAACCGCTGAATTAAATTTTATTTAATTTTCTAGCACTTTCACCATATGTTCCATGAAGTGATATGGAGACCACTCATGTAGACTGTTGTTATTCAAGATACCTATTTACTTAATGTAAAGATGAAGAAGAAAGTTCAACAGGAAAAAGATAAAATCCAAAAAAGAAGACAAAGTAGTCAAGAATGCCTTGATCAGCCAGTTTTCATGAACAGGAAACATGTACATTAGCGTGAGCATAGTGAGACCTACTACTCTGTGTTAGGCATATCAGTCCCCAGACATGGAGAAACTATCAACATCCACCTATAAGTATCAAGAGAAAATTAAGTTCTGAAATTAGTAGAATGCAGTCTGATGCATTGTGTGCACTTTGTTTTTTTAATGTTTTCTTTATTCAGGTAAAGTGCATATAGACTGTTAAAAAAAAAAACATGAAGGTTTTTGGTAGGCCGTGGAAAATTTAAATAAAACAAAATAATCATATAAAGTTTTGTTGTATTATTAAATAATATAATGCAGTCGATGACAAGATAATCGGTTTCATGCAAAATGGACACTAGGCTACAAATCTGTATAATGTTAACTGCATACACACACCAGAACTGTACAGTAATTTCAATAATTCACCAAATGCTTATGACTTACAATGTATATGATGCACAACATTATCAAATTACCATGCATGATGCTATTTTCATTATAACCATTTAATCAATGAAAGAGCTTTGTCAATTTTCCCATAATACAAACAAGTTAGATATTAAAAATAACAAACAAACAAAAACAAATGAAAGAATCCTTTCAGCTTGTATAACGATTAATGCCAATACTAAATATTCTGATACAAGATCATTAAAAAAAAAAATTAAAAAAAACTTTTGTAACTAATTAGGAAGAGGGCAAGACTGAAATCAATGAGAACTGATAGACACAAATATACTAAAGATAGTAAATACACATTTATATAGAGCTGTGTGACAGCTGGCATTGCCGTGATATATAGAAACAATAAATGAATATGAAATAAAAAAAATAAATAAAAAAAATAAATAAATAATTACACTGTTTTGCACCATTCTACATCTTAATCCTATCTTCTTTGCCAAACTACTCATGCTAAATTGCTTTCTTATTAGTTCCCGTATCAGTATAAACACAGCTCGGACACTAGCAGCACTGGTTAAGCTGAACTGCTAGAAGTCAAGCAGTCTGCTTTTCAATAAGAGGAAATTCAGGGGAAATTCAATAAACTGAATTATCACTACATGTCTGTTTGAGGTCTCTATTTGTTTATGTTTGTCCATCACTTGTTCTCATTAAAATGCACATTATAGAGGATTTAGTTCATGACAGCACTTCAACTAGAGCAGGAAGATGTGGGACAACAATACAAAGAGACAGACAAAGAAGAATAGAATATGCGTCTTTGAATATATAAGCGTCCAGCCTAGGTTACAAGACAACTCGTGTCAGTTTACAAATTATTGAAATAGCTGTGATTTATGGGTTTGTTTTTTTCAACTGAATTATTTATGTAATTTACAAGTATGGCGATATTATAAACTACATTTTTGAACATTGCATCCATGGAAAGTTATGTTATTAAATCGAATAATGTGTTAATTAATAGGGAATTATTATAGGGAATTATTATTAAATGAAAACTAGGGCATTAGGTCAAACTAGCCAAGCAGGATTTACAACAAGCTTGTTTTTAACTTTTAAATTCTAATAAAATTTAGTAAATTAAATCTTTAGTCTACCTTAGTTCAAAGTTTAGGGAAATGCCATAATAAATTATACCGTTAGATTTTTGTGTGCACTTTTATAAATGTTGAAATAAATGCATATTAGTAATTTTGATTTTATTAAAGACACGGAGGCTCCTATTATGCTTCTCTTTCTTTAATTCTCCCTCAGCAGCGAAGAGAGATATATGCAAATGAGAGAAAAAATAACAATAACATTAGCATATGGAACAGTGCTCATAGGTATCCACCCCCTTAGTATATAAGGTGTAGCACTCCATGCTTCTTCCTCTTTCTTCGCTGCTCCCTCAGAAGATAAGTACACTCTCATAATTTCATTTGTATGTGTACACTGTGGGATGTTTCAGAGATTTATAGCTATTAGATTTATATCTTTGTGGTATTACTGTGGGGATACTCCTTAGACAGTTTATCCCTCCTTTTCTCTGTTTTTCCCACTTATTTTTCTTACACTGCCTGTGTTTATTCTACTGTGTTTATTCTGCTGTGGCCGGTCCCTCCCTGTTAACTAAGTATTCATACAATTTCCCTCGTCCAGCCCCCTCCCTCCGGTTGGGGCTCCCTCCCCGGTCACACTCTGCCGGTTATTTCACCAGGGGGACCCATCCGGAAACCCGCGGCATTTCCCGGCACTATTTGCATCACCGCCGGCCGGACCTACTTTCGTCCGCGCGGCGATTCACTTTCCCTTAGTTTCCCGCCGCTCACGGGCTCCGCGCATGCGCGGTAGCTCGCGGCGGCCATTTTCTTGGTTCCTGGTCGCCGGTTTAGGCGGCGGCCATATTCTCTACTCGTTTTTCGTGCCGTTTGACCCCTCCCTCACCGGATTTCGTTCCGGCAACCCCTCATACTAGTACAGTTTGATTTTTCTCTGCATATATATTCCTGGTATTAACCTTCCATCTCCCTGTACTTTTCCATCCTGTACCTGGGTTAATCAATCCTAGTACTCTGCATTTTCACTCTATTTTCTATTTGTTATTTTCTCACTTGCACTCTATTTACTTACCATGCAATCTGGTGACAAATGCCCTGGCAAACATAGCCCCTCTATGGCCACTACTGATCCTGATCCTCAGCTCGACCCTGGGCTCATGGGCTCTGAGGAATTCCAATCCCTTCTGGACACCACCATGTCCAAATCTATTTCCAAGGCCATATCTTCAGCCAGGGCCGGTGCTAGGATTTTTGACTACACAGGCGAAGATGCATTTTGACGCCCCCCCCCCCAAAAATAAACAATGCATCTTCACCTCTGTGTCTCGTAGCCCCCTTTTGAATTTCTTACCCCCATTAGTGTTGCATATCCCTTTAGTGTGTCTCCTACAACCCCTCTTATGTATTTCTTACTTCCCCGCCAGCCCCTATCTATCTCTCTTTTTCTCCCACATAGACATAGATACAGGCAAAAATACATACATGCACAAATACACAAACATACAGACACACAACCATACAAGCACACAGACATAATTTTTCAGGCACACAGTCACAAAGATATACAGACACACAGTCATAAAAGGCACACAAACAAACACAGTCATACAATCTACACATATAGGTACATTATCGTACAAACACAGACATACATTCATAAAGACACAGGCACTCACAGAAATACATACACAGACATAAAGAAACAGAGATAGGCATACAGAGACATACATACACAGACAAACAAAGAACCCTGCACACTGATACCGTGTAAATGCTCCGGCCATCAACAGAGGTGGATGCTCCATGTCAGGCAGACATTGCTGGATCCACCAGTAAAGTCTTCAAAAGGAATAAACGCAGGCAACACTCCAATAGTAAGGATGGTATATTTATTGGTAGGTGAACCACCCCATAGAAAGTGTGATGTTTCAGCTCATGTAATAAGGCTCTGCTGAGCCGAAACGACGCCCTTTCTTTGGGGTGGTTCACCTATCAATAAATATACCATCCTTACTATTGGAGTGTTGCCTGCGTTTATTCCTTTTGAATACATTTACACAGTCATACAGAGACATACATACTGTATGTCTCTGTATGACGGTCTGTGTATGTACACAGGATGGCTAAAAGATAGATCCCCATCTGTCGTGAAACTTCAACAATGCTTTGAAAGCTGGGGCTCTACCGATTCCCCATGCTTGCAGGATTGTATTTAGCATGGAGCAGTATTTGTGTGTTTGACTGTAAGCATGTGTTTGTATGGAGTATGTTTGTATGATTGTAGCGGTGTGTTTGTATGTAGTGTTTGCATTTGAATGCAAGCATGCATTTATGTGTAGTGTTGGTTTTTGAACGCAGGTGTGTGTTTATATATAATTTTGGTGTCTGATACAGAGGTGTGTTTGTATGTAGTGTTGACGTTTGCATGCAGGTGTTTATTTGTGTGTAGTGTTGTGTTTGAATGCTGAGATATATGCACATATACACATACACTGCCACACATGCACACACTGTGATACACATACACAAAGATACACACACTGACACATGCAGATATACATATACACAAACTGATACCCATTCAGATAGACACACAGGTACACACAAACACTGACAGACATACAGATAAACACACAGTGACATACAGACACACATACACAATGATAGGGAAGAAGACACACAAAGACACACTAACAGACAGACACACACACACAGACATTTAGATACACACAGACACATGGACAGAGACATATACATACACACACACACTGACAGACATGGATACACACACACACACTGACAGACATAGATACACACACACTGACAGACATACACACACACACACTGACAGAGATAGATACACACACACTGACAGACATACACACACACACTGACAGAGATAGATACACACACACTGACAGACATACACACACACTGACAGACATGACAGACATACACACACACTGACAGACATACACACACACACTGACAGAGATAGATACACACACACACTGACAGACATACACACACACACACTGACAGACATAGATACACACACACACACACACTGACAGACATACACACACACACACTGACAGACATAGATACACACACACACTGACAGACATACACACACACACACTGACAGACATAGATACACACACACACACTGACAGACATAGATACACACACACACTGACAGACATATACACACACACACACTGACAGACATAGATACACACAGACACACTGACAGACATACACACACACACACTGACAGACATAGATACACACACACTGACAGACATACACACACACACACTGACAGACATGGATACACACACACACACACTGACAGAGATAGATACACACACACTGACAGACATACACACACACTGACAGACATACACACACACACACTGACAGAGATAGATACACACACACACACTGACAGACATAGATACACACACACTGACAGACACACACACACACACACACACTGACAGACATACACACACACACACACACACCACAGAGATAGATACACACACACACCGGACAGACATACACACACACACTGACAGACATAGATACACACACTGACAGACATAGATACACACAGACACACCTGACAGCATACACACACACACACTGACAGATGATACACACACACACACAGACAGACATACACACACACACAGACAGACATAGATACACACACACACTGACAGACATACACACAGACACGCTGACAGACATACACACACACACACTGACAGACACACACACTGACAGACATAGATACGCACACACACACTGACAGACATACACACACACACTGACAGACATACACACACACACACACTGACAGACATAGATACACACACACTGACAGACATACACACACACACACACACACACTGACAGAGATAGATACACACACACACTGACAGACATACACACACACACTGACAGACATAGATACACACACACACTGACAGACATAGATACACACAGACACACTGACAGACATACACACACACACACTGACAGACATAGATACACACACACACACTGACAGACATACACACAGACACGCTGACAGACATACACACACACATGCTGACAGACACAGATACACACACTGACAGACACAGATACACACAGACACACTGACAGACATACACACACACACACTGACAGACATACACACACACACACTGACAGACATAGATACACACACACACACACTGACAGACATAGATACACACACACACACTGACAGACATAGATACACACAGACACACTGACAGACATAGATACACACAGACACACTGACAGACATAGATACACACAGACACACTGACAGACATAGATACACACACACACACTGACCAACAGGTTCAGAAGGGGGGCTTACCTGGGATCCAAAGTGCTGCCTGAGGTAGTTGGGAGTTGGAGGAGCTGGTCCTGCCCAGCCCCCTCCTCTCTGCCTTTTGCTGCTGTAGTCTTCTTGGGAGGACTTCCTCCCATGCTGATTAGATGGGGGCCCGTAGCTCCGCCCCTGCTGGGCGCCAGCCGCACTGTGTGCTACAGAGGGAGCAGGGATATGACGTTCATATCCCCGCCCCCTCCACACAGTCCGCGGCACTGCAGGTTGGCGCTCGGCCACGCTACAAGAAGTGACCGGCAGGAGAGGGGAGCGGTGCGCTTCTCTCCTGCCGGTCACCCGGACATTTGCGCCCCCGGGCCGGTGCGCCCTAAGGCGGCCGCCTGTGCCGCCTTATGGACGCGCCGGCCCTGTCTTCAGCCATGGGCGCGATGTCCTCTACCATCTCGGACTCCATCACGCAAGCGCTTAAACAGGTACAACCTCACCCTACCCCTGCCTTGACCCATACCCCTCCTGAAGGGAGGCTGCCAGGCCACAAAGCGTTAACCAAACGCAGACATTCACAAGACCCCCCACCCCATGCAGGTTGACCCTGCTCTGACTGACATGCCTCAGGCTGTCCATGATGGCGCGCAACAACCGCGCAATAGAGCTTCTGGGCGAGCTACGGCTACCAGAGACTGGAAAAGGGCTAGAGCCCATGATATACTGTCTGACTCAGACGAGGAGGGGGATGAGGGGTCTGACGCCCCGTACGAGGACGAGCTCTCAGAGGGTGAAAGCCTCCAGGGAAAGCAGTTCCCCTTGACGGCAACGCGTACCACTGCTCATGCAGGGACGCCCGAGGCAGAAGCAGCCCGTGACCCTAAAGAGGTCACGCTATTCGACCCTGACAACTTAAGACACCCACGCTCTGCCGAGTGGGAACCATCTGAACACATCGCCCGATACCTAGCCCTCAGGGTACGTAAGTCCCTTTCTCAAGAGAGCCGTAATAAATTGAGAGCGGAGTGCCCCCGACCCATAATCCCTGATGCTGTGGCAAAAACCCCAGAAGTGGACCCTCAGATAGCCCAGTTTCTAGCCAAAACAGGCTGGAAGGCCAAGAGGGGACTGGACTACTCCCTCCGTAATTGTCAGGACAAGTTCCTAGACACTCTGGGTCCTGTCACTAAATTATACGAACTGCTGGAAGCAGCTCAGTCGGGTGAGGCTCCAGTAGACTTTGAAGTAGCGTTTGGATGGCTCCAACGCTTGGTCTGCATGATCGGCAATGCCAATACTGCCATGTCAACAGAACGCAGGAAGGCCATCCTGCTGAAAATCGAACCCAAACTGGCTAGTATGGCCTCCTCTGAACCAGGGGCCGCGGCTAAGGGTCTCTTGTTTGGCGAATCCTTCGTCAAAGACCTGGGCTCCTATGTCAAAACATTCACGGCGCTGGATAAAGCCCAATCATCCATGAAGAGGGTATTCCACCAAAAGGTTTTCGGTGGGGCCGGTAGAGGTAGGAGCCGTCTATCCGGCCACAACCCCCGGGGTTTCTCCAGACCGGGCAGAGGCTCCTCCAACACACAGAGACAGACCCAGGAACGTTCCTACACCCCGTTCTTCCCTTCTCGAGGAAGATCTTGGAATGCCCGTGGCAGCAGAGGAACAACCCCAGGAAAACGCCCTTATGGTGAGTACGATTTTTCCCCATTTTTCCCATATAAATGTGGGGGGCAGACTGGCTTTGTTTTCTCAAACGTGGGCCACTATCACGTCCGACAGTTGGGTACTGCAGACTGTAGAGGGTTACCAACTAGAACTGACGGGTCTTCCCTTTCAGGTTTCCCTCCCGCGTAGGCCACACATGCCTCAGTCTCACTACGACCTCATCTCCACGGAGATAGAAACCTTGTACAACAAAAATGCCATAGAGGAAATCCCTCTAGATACCCCAGGTTTTATAAGCAACCTGTTCTTGGTGCCGAAGAAAGGCGGGGGTGTCCGCCCAGTTATCAACCTGAGACCCCTCAATGCCTTCATACAATATCGGCATTTCAAAATGGAGGGCATACACTGCCTCCGAGACCTCCTTCTCCCAGGAGACTGGATGGTGAAACTCGATCTGCAAGATGCATATCTCACGATTCCGATAGCACCAACACACAGGAATCTCCTACAGTTCCGGTGGGGCACAAAGAAATGGCGCTTCTGTTGCCTCCCTTTCGGGCTCTCCTCCGCTCCCTGGTGCTTTACGAAAGTGCTGAAACCAGTGGTAGCATTTCTCAGATTACACGGGATTCGCCTCATTATCTATCTGGACGATATCCTCATACTGTCTGGGACACGATCCCTTCTGCTGTCACACCTGTCGTGGACCCTTCACCTCCTGCAGAACCTCGGTTTTCTAGTGAACTGGGAGAAATCGGTGCTACAACCTTCTCAACAGATGGAATTCCTAGGATTCAGAGTCGATTCGGTACAACAAATCCTGTGCCTCCCTTCAGAAAAGATGTCCAACATCAAGAAGGAGATCAGGAGGATAATGAACCGTTCGGACATTTCTCTAAGACAACTGGCTCGGGTAATCGGCTTACTAGCATCCTCTATACAGGCGATCTTCCCGGGACCGCTACACTATCGGGCGCTACAACGCCTAAAGGCTTCCTGCCTAAGGAAGGGTCAGTCGTACGAATCCAACATCACGCTGGACGAAGAATCCAGGGAGGAACTGGACTGGTGGCTGACCCACATGGAAGCATGGAATGGACGGGCAATCTTCGGTTCCACTCCAGATATGATAATCGAGTCGGATGCAAGCTTACATGGCTGGGGCGCGCGCTGCGGCTCCATATCCACAGGAGGCAGATGGTCAGTAGACGAATCATTCCTACACATAAACTCACTGGAACTACTGGCGGCCTCATTTGCCATTCGCAGCCTCACACCCAAGGGCGCCTCATGCTCGATCCTCCTCAAGTTAGACAACGTCTCGGCAGTCAGGTACATAAACCATCTTGGAGGTACCAAGTCACGCATCCTAGCGGTTTTAGCTCGAGACTTCTGGCATTACTGTTTACAAAACAATGTGTCGGTGACCGCGGAACACATACCGGGCCTGGACAATTACACCGCGGACTGGAACTCCCGATATCTGAGGGATTTGGGGGACTGGAAGCTTCAACCAAAAGTCTTCGCCAGGATAGCTCGACTATGGGGGCCCTTGAGTGTGGACCTCTTTGCGTCCAGACTGAACACTCAACTTCCTCAATTCTTCAGCTGGCGACCGGACCCGGAAGCCTTGGCGACAGACGCTTTCCTTCAGGACTGGACCGGGGGACGAGCATACGCCTTTCCCCCGTTCAACCTGATTGCTCGGACTCTAACATACATTCGACGCTTCAGAACCTCGTTGGTCTTGATAACACCGTGCTGGAGATCCCAACCCTGGTTCCCTCACCTTCTGGAAATGGCGATCGACTTCCCACGGTTACTACCGGATCAAACGTCCCTGTTAACCAACCCAGATGGGGAGAATCACGACTTGATAGAACGGGGAATCCTCCGACTCATGGCATGGCTCCTTTCCGGGGACCCTGGGAAATCACGGAAGTTTCGGGAACAACTACCCAACTCTTGGCGAACGCCTGGGCACCGGGAACAAGGCGCGCATATGCTACGGCATGGAGAACTTGGTCCGATTGGTGCCTGGAAAGATCAGTGGATCCCATATCAGCTTCTGTAAAGACGGTACTGGACTTCCTCACTCAATTGTTCGAATCGGGCAAGGCATTCCGTACAGTCAACATCTACAGGTCTGCTATCTCAGCAGGTCATGATACTGTGGACGGGACTCCCCTCGGTCAGAACCCCCTGATATGTCGCTTACTCAAAGGTATACGTTTTTCACGGCCACCAAAACCCAGGTACGGATCCTTTTGGGATGTCAACATAGTGTTCAAATTCCTGGAGGAATGGCCCGACAACGCGGCACTGTCAATCAAACAGCTGTCCGCTAAACTACTCATGATTTTATGTTTATTATCCTGTAAACGCGTGTCAGATGTAAGGGCTTTGGACTGGCTAGCCCGCTCATTCACTCCAGAAGGGGTGTCTTTCGATATTTCAAGAAGAACTAAATCAGCGACTAAACAAGTTTTCTATCCACACCTCCCGCACCAACCGAAGCTGTGCCCAATTCTATGCTTAAAAGAATACGAAACCCGTACTTCTTCCCTAAGACCGTCAAACTACGGCCCTTTGTTCATTTCACTAAAGAAACCGCACCTACCAGTATCCACACCTACTCTCGCCCGTTGGGCCAAATGGTTATTGGCCTCGGCCGGGATAGACGTTACAATTTTTTCGGCCCATTCGGTCAGAGGCGCTATGGCTTCTAAAGCATCGACAGTAGGGTGCCGGTTAGAAGACATCCTGAAGGCCGCAGACTGGTCTACGGAATCCACATTCCGGAACTTCTATTTTAAACCAATCCAACATTTCTCGGACAGAGTCATTGCTCAGCTTTGAAAGAGCATAATAGGAGCCTCCGTGTCTTTAATAAAATTCCTAGATTTTACTATTAACATGACGTAAAGTCATGATTTTATTAAAGACACGGAGGCGAGTATTATTCCCTCCCACCCTCCCTGGGTGGAGGGATTGGTTTTTTCTCACGGATACCAACCACAGATCAGGTGGACTCCTACAATGTAGATACCTGTAGGTGCGCTCATACGTCTCTCAGGTAGGTGACTTTGTGATATAGTAGACATAATCTTATATTACCTTTTGATATGTCGACATGACTACTACGTTATACGACTTAGTTTTTACCTACATGAAGTTACATGATGCAACCAGTTGCCGACCATATATTACCATATTTTCTCCTCTCTTTTAGCCTGAATCATACTGTCAAAGTGGTGATTTTCCGTTACAAAGCGTTACAGTCTAACCTCAAGGATTGGACATT